GGGTTAACACAAATTAAATGTGCCATTACTTTTGCAAAGGCCAGTTTTAAGTTGTATTGTTTTCCAATATGTTAAATTCAGTAAATAAATGGTAATTGTGCCTTAGAATGTGCAGAAGTGTGTTCACTTATTCTGACTTAGAAAATCAACAAAACATGGAATTTGACCAGGGGCGCCCAAACTTTTGCATACAACTGTATATACAGTATAAAGGCAGCTGAGAAACTTATACTTTAGAATGCTTTTTACCTGGACAGCAAGCATTTATGAGCTCAAAAACACTTATTAGACACATATTAGAATAAATACAAACAATATTAATATAATAAGTAGGGATTTTATGTTTGTCTGTATGTTTGTTTAACCATTTTCAATACTTTCCTCCAGACATCCAGGATTATTTACAGTTATCATCCAATACCTGCTTTATCTATTCAGTGACATAATTAAACAAATCAGTGTGATGTCTGAAGGCGTCCAGTCTGAATCTGGACGTAATCTTTGTTCTTCAAAATAGCTCGACTACAATTTTTCAATAAATAAATAAATAGGTAAATAGTTGTTATTTTTACTGTGTTTTATGTTATTTGCATCTATTCTAATGATTTATGGTGTTTATACAAGCAAAAATGCACTCAGTGCTGGGATAAAAAAGGCTCCATTGCTCCACAGCCCAGTGCTGGGGGGCCTTATACCCCTCTGGCCCACACCTGGCACTGGGCCTGGTGACCTTATTTATAACTTTCTAGAGCCCTCACATGGGAACCCGTGGGCTGTTTGGTGTTTGTTAGGGAAGTGCTGGCTCATGTGCTCTTGGATTAAAGGGCTCATATCTTACATTTCTCCTCCACTCAGGTCCACTTACAACATTTGTGTGGCTTTCTGTACCAAAAACAGTCATAATACCTTTTTAAATGACCGTTTTCCAACATTTCTTTATTAAACACGTTGGTTCTAATGCAGTACTTTAAGCCTGGCATATGTAAATGACCTCTCTTTTGATTGGCTGTGCTGTGCAGGCAGAAAAATTCCTTATAACTTCAGCATGAGTGGGCAGAGCGAAACCTTTAAAGGTATACTTCGGCCAAAATGAAAAATGTAACCATCGCTACAGCCGACGCTTTCTTGCCCTTTGCCTACAGAGGCACCTGAGGCCCAATCCCATTTCAGCCCTCGCCCCCACCACTGAGCCCTTACACCTCCGTTTTGCGTGTTCACTCCTAGGGGTAGGGTGTCCTGATTCTTGTTGAGATAGAGGGGTAGGATGAAGTGTTAGAGCTACATGGCCCTCCAAACGGAGGTTTTTCAGAGACTCCAAACAGAGATGATGGCTGAACAAGAGACCAAAGAAACCCACAAATCTGAGTATTGTTTGTTAAAAATAACCATAACCATTTGATTATCTTAGTTTAATGTTGTTTCAATGTATTATGGTCCTTTTCTTCATAACAAGCATAAAAAATCACTAGGAGCATGCAAAGGTCTTGTTAGCTGGCTGGCTAAATATCCTGTTCCACCTTTAATTGTGTAATATTCACCAGCTTCTAGTTTGAATTTTCTTGTTCCACCTTAAATGGTGCAGCAATTCTGACATCTGAGGCTCCATAATGTAACTGTTGCACCATTTAAGGTGGAACAAGAAAATTCAAACTAGAAGCTGGTGAATATCTGACTTCAGCTTCATATCACTGAAGAATTAGGGGTGGGTGATAATAAATAGTTGCCCCCCCCGCTTAAAGGCATATGATGCCCTAAGTGTAACTAAAGCCCAGCAGTGAGGAGCTGAACTTTACCCTCCTCTGCTGTCACTGCAGACTGGCAGGGTCGCCTACAGAGCAGCGCTGGTAGCTGTTAATGAAGTGATGCTCTTTTTATTTGAGGGTCCCATTTCAGAGGGAAGATTTCAACCACTACCCCTTATAACTCAGTTCCAAGGGGCAAGGAGACACTCGAAAACAAGGGGTTGGAATAAAAATAAGAAATGGAATTGGGCCTAAAACCTCCTTCTGACAATGTATCTTGAAGATGGGAAGAACTGTGTAAGCGCAGAAAAGAACACAAAATCATGAATTTTACAAAACATGACTGCTAACATATTAACTGCTAGGTTTAGGCCAGGAAAGCCCCCTTAAATAAAGCCTGGACAGTCAGACATTTGTCAATGCACTGTCTTTTGTGACATCACAAAAAGAACATAGACCGTATAGACTGCAGTGTGAATGTTATGTTTTGAACCTTTAAAATTGTTTACATACTCCATCAAACTCTTTTATTTAAAGAAAACAGTGAGGTTTTCCTTGATATGGGCTTTTTAAGGTTTGTGGCCAACTGCTTCTTCTACCGTTAGACTGAACGACCACTGGTTCTGTATTGCAGTGGACATGCACTGTGGTCAAACAATACCTCATCCCACTGTTCTTAGCACTGCCGGTTTTTGTTACCAACACAGCTAAATATTTACAATCATCTAAACAGATTAGTCATTGAAACCCTTCCTTCACAAGCCACTAAGAGACGACCTGCTTTTATACCTCAACCCACTTCCACTTACGGGACATGGCACAACCAGCACGCTTCCCTTTATTAGACATAATAGCAGTTATTATATACTCTGTACTGGTACTTTATAATATGATTTAATGTTTCAGCTTAATGTGGCTGCCTTAAAACGTAGTAATATGCCTTTAAAGGGCAATTCCATTGATTTCTCCAGAATTTGCTTGTTGAGATGTAAACAGACTCATTCAGAGAGGTCTGATGAGAAAGGCTTTGTTCTAGTGAAGCTGACTGACTCAGATGTCGTTACAGTGGCAGGGATGGGAACCGGGGTCGCCATGGCTACAGCACAAATATAGATAGAATTTTATTTACTATCCAAAACCACCAGTGAACCTACACGAGTTTTCTTTGGGAGACTATTTTGCATCACAGCACCTTACATGTATCCCTCCACCATAAATGGCTTTCAAAAATATGTTTACGGCCAAAAACTTCTCTCAAAACTAAAAAAATCTTAAAAAGAGGTTCTTTAAGGGTTCTTTTGTGAAGAAAATGGATCTATATAGAAGCATGAACAATCAAAGAACGGTTTGCATGATTAAAGGGTTCTTATAGCACAAAAAAGGTTGTTCTATGGTTAAAAGCTTGACATCGTCAAAGAAGGACATAGAAGAACCCTTTTTGGTTCTATACAGAACCATTTTCTTTACTAAAGAACTCTTGAATAGTGTAGTAAAGACCATGGTTCTATAAAGAACCATGAACACTCAAAGGACCATTTGCTTGCTTGAATGGTTCTCTGCACAGTGATATGGTTCTTCAGACTGATGGAGAATGTGTTGTATATGGCTCTATATGGCACCAAAAAGGGTTCTGCTATTATTATGATGTCAAGTTTGTAACAATAAAAGAACCCTTTTTGGTGTTACATAGAACCCTTTTCAAAAAATGTTCTATACAGAACCATGTACAACACATTCTCCAGAACTCTTTCACCATGCAAAGAACCCTTTAATCGTGCAAAGCGTTGTTCGACTGTTCATGGTTTTACGTAGAACCCATTTTCTTTACTGAAAGAACTCTTGAGGAACCATCACCTTTAAGAGTGTAGTAAAGACCATGAAAGAACCATGAACACTGAAAGAATCAACTGCATGCTTGAATGGTTCTCTGCAGAGTGATATGGTTCTTCAGACTGAAGGAGAATGTGTTGTATATGGTTCTATATGGCACCAAAATGGGTTAAAGTCAAGCTTGTAACAATAGAAGAACCCTTTTTGGTGCTATATAGAACTCTTTTCAAAAAGGGTCTATATAGAACCATATACAACACATTCTCCACCGATCTGAAGAACGCTTTCTCTTTGCAAAGAACCAAAATGTGTTCATGATTCTATATCGAACCACTGTCTTCACTAAAGAACCCTTGAGAACCATCTTTTTAAGAGTTTGCAGCATATTCATAACCATTTCATGTAGTAACTTTCTGTGAGGGAGCTTTCAGAGGTGGACGTCTGGTTCCTATCACCACCACTGTGAACAATTCAGACTCGGTAGGTTTATCTAGAACAGAGCGTTTCACACCAAACCACTCTGAACGACTCTGTTTACATCTTTACAGCTTAAATAAGCACAATTTTTCGAAAAGCTGCTGAACTTCCCAGCATGTTTGGAGCAAAAAATCCACTCTATGATGTAAGAAAGATTTAAGAAGCCCCCTGTTTATCCCCCCAGCACTGTTTAAAATCCACTTAACAGGGAAATCCCATTGCAGAGCCTAATAACCTCACTCGAACAGGTGGCATCTGACCTGAATGAATGAGCGCTTTGTTGGAAAACTCCACTTCCCTCCCCAACCTGTGCCGAACCGCAACATGCTGTGGACGGAGAACCACTGACCATCTTCGCCTGAGACCACTTTTCAGTGACCTCTTTAACTTTAGGGCCCTGGTCCAGACCTCAATTCCTCCACTCTTGTAAATAAACTCAGTATCTTACATAGTAGGCACTAAATAACAAAGCCTTGTTTAATAACAGTGTAATAAAGCACTTCTGCTTTCCTTTGCAAGTGTCCTATTCTTCTGTGGAAGAGGGATCAAGTTTCTGAAACCAGCCTGCTTCCTAAAACCTATTTCACATCACAATACAGTAAGAGAAAGGATGGAGAATACACGCTTTTACCACATTTAGGCATTTGTAGCAGATTTATTAAGGTGGAGTAAGGATCAAACATGCAAAAACGAACTAAAGACGTGATGTCTAGTCTAATCTGACTCATTCTAAACCCACAAAGCTTAAACTGGCTTCCTGTTTACGAATTCTCCGTTCCACCTTAAATAGTGCAGCAGTTAGTACAACTGCTGCACCATTTAAGGTGGAACGGAGAATTCGAATAAGTAGCTGTAGAAAATGCAGCCAGCTCAGTTTTTTTGTGGACCCCGCTGTGTCTACAGTCCGCTGGATGTGAAAGCTCGTGCCTGGGGGTCTCCTAAAGCACTCACCTCCTCTCCGCTTGCTTTGTCCAGGTTTCCGTTCATCTCCATCGTCTCGGACGCCATGGCCGAACCCACCCGCGCTGAATAAAGGCACAGATCTGAATGGCCGGTCGGAGACTTTGCGCTAAAGTACGAGTGAGATCATGGGGAGGAGGGAGCAGTGAGGAGGGCAGTGCGCCACCCGCCAGCAGAGGGCGCTCCTGTGTGGGTGGGCGGACACTCTGGAACATCTGACGTTGTGGGGACGTTTGGCTGGGCCTCATTTTCTCCACTTAAACGAGCTGCAGCTCTGTGTGAAAAAGTAAAAAAACCCAAAAGATAAGCTTTTGATTTCTGAGCCCCCGCTGAAAAAAAGCAATAGGACCCATTACGCGTTTCAGGTGTTTCCTGATGGTTTTTTACAGTGTTTTGGCTTTTTTGATGGGTTGATATCACAATGTACAGGACCTTAAAGGTTTAGCAGGTGACCAATGGTGATTCTAAATGCATCCTAATGGGATCTAAAGGTGTTCTACGGGAAACAAGTGGTCTCAGTGAGAACCTATTAATTCTCACTAGAAAGCAAAACCATTAGATTTTAATCCTAATGGGCTCTAATGGTCCTTTTTCAGGAGGGAGGTTAGGGTTTACGCTTACAAAAAGACCCACATCATGCATTAGAGGCAAACATGTAATAATAATAATAAAGCTACAGTTTCAGTTTTTTTACATTATATTTTTAGAAACGTCCACAAAGTTCAATCTCAAATATTACAAAATAAAAGTTGTATTAATGTCCAACCTTTGACACGTTACGTAAAAAATTAGTTTTAGATGAAAAAGATTAAAAATCAATAATTTATCTGTCTCTTTGAGTTGCTGTCCACCTCATCACACTTGTTTAGCTAAACATATTTAGCCAAAAATAATGTAATTTAAACAATGAGTAAAGTACATCATTTATGTCTTCAGAGGAATTCAAAACTGGTAAATTTAATTTTTCACTAAGCATTGATATTTTGAATAGATAAAATAGAGAAAATGATTTTTTTTTGCAATATTCACAGAAATATCATGTGAGTAATGTTTAGGAGGTCTGATGTTAGGAGGTCTAAGCAGCGTGGCGGCCAGTTTAGCTTGAAAAATTCCCCCGTTACAATTTGCGTCACAGGGATATAATTCTATAATTCTCATTGGGGCCTCATTCACCAAGCGTTCTTAAGAGGAAATTGCTTCTTAAAACCCATTTACGCAGTTTTTACGAAGATTGTGGCATTCACCAATTTTTTCTTGTTTGGGATGTGGTGAAAACTCTTTTTCTTAGGGCCTTCTTCAAGAACATGTTTAAGAAAAATCTTAGGAAGATATCGGGAAATGAGGCCCAATGTTATTTACACCATAATAGAAATATTCTAGTTTGGCACTAGAATATTTTGGGCATATTCTAGCTTGAACAAACATGCTTTTACTCTGGATTTGTAAACACTCAACAGCAAGCTTGCATTGCTAATGTATCCAGGAAGGCTATAAGAAAATATGAGGTTTCTACAGTGCTGTTAATATTTGTATTATTCAATCAAATTCAGGATATTTATATATATGGACCGTTTTACTGAATTAGTTTAAACTGCAGCCCCACAGTAAAAAAACAATGAAGTATTCAGAGCTGAGATATTTACAGTGATTATGTTCTGATCTATTTAGACCCAAAGCATTAATAGAGATAGTAATGAGCTAAATATATACAAAATCATCATTTATTTATTTTTTTTGTACTAATGTTGTTTTTAAATGATCTTTCTGGTTTCTTTTAAAGTGAAGTTAAAATATTTAGATTTATCATGAGTTTGATTTTTAAATAAAAAATGCTATCCTATGTTTTCATGTCACCGAAACACAGAGCTTTATTCTGTGGGCAGGGCCTTATTATAGACACGCCCCTGTATTTTAGAGTAGGAAATGAGGCTGCATCCCTGTCCCTCATGGCCACATGGTGAGCAGTTAGATCCCATTGTTTTGAAGAAAATGTGTCCCAAAATCTGGAAATCAGTGTGATAAAGGGTCTTTTAGGGTCAAAGTCAGTGAACTTAAGAATCCAAGTCTAAGATAGGGAACCCACCCTCCTGTGCTCGACTTTAGATAGCAAAACAATAACACAACAAGAGCAATATGAATAAAGAATAAAGATTTGATAATTGATATACAACAGTAAATATAGAATAAAGACAAGAAAACAGCCTGTGATTGGACAGAAGAATTGAGATTAACCAGTGATAACCAATGTCTGCTCTCAGAGGAACAGACGGGAAAAGATCTACAAAAACCAGAGACTAGTTTTAAAATCATATCAGAGTGAAAATGAGAGTTAAATCCATAAACATCATTGAGTGTGTTTACATGCACTTGATAATCCAATAACTGCAGAAAATCAGATTTTGTCAGTAATCCAATCAACACATTTACATGCACTTGAGTAATCAGATAATGGAGAAACTAGTCAGACGGGTCTACATGAGTCAGACAGTAATCAGACTTCTGCTTTACAATCAGCCAATAAACTCACAGAAGAAGACGTGATGTAAACATAATGTAAAACTCAAACTTCATACCGCAGCTTTTTTTAAACATCGCGCCACTTTACCTGAAAATATGAACAAACATCATCTAGAAGATGAAGAATATTTAAATCCTTTATTTTGTGTTTGGTTTCAGCGTCGCTCCAAAAGTGTTTTGCTGCGTCTCGCAGCAACACTGCTTGCTTATTTCTGTTTTCGTGCCTGCACAGCCTGAGAAATCCGAAAGAAATCAGAGTAAGAGTTTACATGCACTGAGAAATCTGATTACTGAGCTAAAATCCTCTTTATCAGACTTCTCAATCGGAATTTTTAGATCGGAGTATGTTTTTTACATCACCCATCCAATAATCAGATAACTGCAAAAATCCGATTACGATCGGATTATTGAGTGCATGTAAACACACTCACTGACTGCTGTTAGAATCCGTCATGACGAAGCGCTCAATATATTGTGAGGCAGGTAAACAATGTCTATTTTGAGTTCTGTTTTCAGCCACCATTATCATCCAGAGGGTGAGAGCAGGAGAGTGATTAGACATGCAGGAACCTGAGGAACCTGATCAGGGCGTATCTTGCGACAGCATCAGAATAGACAGGATGGGCAGCTGTTCAAATTAGTATTACGTGTCTAATACTCCCATAACAATGTTCTATTCTAATCTATAATACTTGTCTGGCATCCTGTAGTGAACTTTAGTGACTGTCGTGTTAATTTGTTTAGTTTTAAGGTCTGATTGTGAACCTTAAATAAGTTTTTCCAGGTGAAAATTTCGTATTTGTACCTTTTCATAACCGAATGTTTTAAAACAGAACAGTAAAATAAAAGCCTGGAGACGCGACGGGGTGTGTGGAGTCAGTACAGCTTAGAACATATCATTTCAGTGGATTATGGTTCAGTTATGTTCCCTGACTAAAGGTACTGAGATGGACCCTTGAGGGTTCCACCCCAGTGACAGTTTAGTACCTTTATGTCTGAGAGTGTAAGGGCTAAATGTAGCACAGCAGTCCCCACAAAGACAGAAATACAAACTACACTGTGTATGTATGTTTTTCAGTTTCTCCATTCGGCTGGAAGTAAAAGTCCATGGACTTTCCAGCATAAAGGAAAACTGTAGTAACTGTCTAAACGTCAGTGATAGCAGAAGTCAGTGGAGGTTAGCGTGGCTGTTTATCCTTAGCGGTTAGCGGTGTTGTGTATCTTTAGCTCAGGCTCTGCAGAGCTTAGCGTCTTCCATAATTTAACACATGATTCAACTTGACGCCTAATTGCTAAGTCATTCGTGAGCTGATCTGGGCGTGTTAGAGCGCTGTGAACTCTGAACTCAGCCCTGCTGTGGCCCCCACAGGGTTCGAGTTTGACACCCCCGGATTAGCTTGTAGCCTCGAACGGTACAGCATTAGACTTTGGCCTCAGCCCTTGAGGATCAAACGACATTATGTCAGTGACCGACAGGGTCAGTTGTAATAGTTTTCTGTTTCTCAGGGGTTTTGATTTATAGCTTTGCTTTGATTTACTGTATAATACTAATACTGTTATCCCCACAGTCACAATGCATTGCTGGGAGCTGTGTAGACCTGTTGTTTAGCTAATTATCTGCTTCATATTTAAAGTTTCGTGTGTACTTTATGTTTAGTTTTGGTGCTGTTGAACTTGGGGGGTGGGTTTGGGGGGAGATGTTGGGTCCATAAATGAATGTAGCTTTCTTTATAGAGCGCCTTCTTGAGGCTGTTCTTTCTTATTACAGCATTTTATTCTGACCTTTTTAAGCCCCTCAACTTCAGTATCTATGTACGTCTATGTTTGGGGTTTAAAACCCTGTCTACTCATTTATATGATTTTCTTCTATTATCTATTGTTTTTGTGATGTTTTTACGACGAACTGGCAGTGAAAGAACCATGCTGGACTTTTCTGTTAGAAGATTTTTTAAACTACTTTTTTCTGCCCTTTGTTGTCCAGTTCAGTTTGAGTTGGGCAGGATTAAATTTGGCACAGGTCACTGTGTTAGCAACATGTATCTCAGCTACTCGCTTTCCTCTCCCTCACATAAAGCCGGGTCTGTTTAAGTGCACCCAGGTTTGATGTTTCTGTTTAATATACTCGGAAGAGTCTCAGAATGATAACAACCCAATGCCTGGAACATTCATAGAAAACTACAATAAGATCGTCACAAAGCAGCAGTCCTGCTGAATGGGGATGAACAGAGCTGAAGGCTAAAAGCAAAAACTTAAACTTGTTTCAAAGAAAACTTATGTGTCTTTCCATTTTTCTAAAGATAACAGATTTTTTGGCAGTAGGATGCTAACACTACTGAGTGCTGATTGGTTAGCATTACTGCTACTGAGTGCTGATTGGTTAGCATTACTGCTACTGAGGGCTGATTGGTTAGCATTACTGCTACTGAGTGCTGATTGGTTATCATTACTGCTACTGAGTGCTGATTGGTTATCATTACTGCTACTGAGTGCTGAATGGTTAGCATTACTGCTACTGAGGGCTGATTGGTTAGCATTACTGCTACTGAGCGCTGATTGGTTAGCATTACTGCTACTGAGTGCTGATTGGTTAGCATTACTGCTACTGAGTGCTGATTGGTTAGCATTACTGCTACTGAGCG